ATCTGCTGGCGGATTTGAGAGATGTAGTCCAATTGTAGAATTATAAAGCATACTCACTAAAACTGATCACTTTCCATTATGGAAATGTGTGTAAATACATTAGTAAATGCACACCTATGTAGCATTGTCACAGCCTAGATTATCCCAAGTACTAATTAATATCCAGCCCTGGGGTGAAATGGTTCCATATGTTCAGGAAAAATATATGCACTTCTGCATTTAATGTGAAGAGTTTTAGTTCCCTATGCTATAAAGTCCTCACACTTTTACCACCCTGTGTTCATGTTGGCAGCCTGGTAGCAAAAACCAAGAATCATCATTACTCTCTAGTGCAGTAATGCTAAGAACTCTAAGGTTAACCACTCAACTGTACTTGGGGGCGGGGGGCAGGAGGTAAGGAAAGGGAAGAAACACCCTAAAAAGGCTTTAGTAGAAACTAATCTCATGCATCAGAGTTATTTGTAGAGGAAGTGAGGGAACTATATTGGCAAGAATGTGGAATGTCTCAGTAAAAGTCTCAAATCCCTTCTATAGTATAAATACTGTTGTTGGTTTTTTTTTTTTCCCATTTGTTTGAACATTCCTATTTATATTTTCCTACTAGTCAATGCATTTAAAGTATTTTCTGCTCAGTGAGAATATATAGCCAATTACCCAAAACATTGTTTTTCTTATTAAAAAAAAAAAAAGAAAGCCAAATGCAAGTACCTTACTATAATCATGTTACAGCATATTATTATCTTGTGAATGTCTTATCCTCCTCGGGTTAGTACATTGGAAATGACTCTTGAAAGTTGAATCAGTTGGTAGATGTGAGATGAATCCTCCTTTGATTGTGTCAATAAAGCCCTTCCCAGCATTCCATCCTTCACTTTCATTTTCACATCAGAAATAACAATGGAAAAAGAATAGCACTTGTTTAACTGCACAGACTACAATTAATTTAGGACATATTTTTGTTTTGCCCACTTGCATGTACGCAGTCAACAAATGTACAGTTGGAAGAGTGGTACGGTTAGGATGGTACTTTACAGATGTTCTAGTTGTAAAGATTATTATGGTGGAAATGAGACAATCAAAAAAGAAATGCTGAACCATATCCAAGAATCTCAACATGCAATGAAAAACTCCAAAAAGGAGGGATCTCCAGAAGGAGATCCTTCCCAGGAGTCAGCCCTTAAATGGAATCTAGGACGGGTGGAGCCTGGCTGGTCACACAGGTGAATTGCCTTCACTTGTGCTCCTACAGCTGACCCAGTCCTTGGTCAATCAGTGGTTCAGGCCATGACTCAGCAGTTCCTATACACACGACTCTCAGTGTTTTCCTCCCTTTTTTCTCAGTCCTGAACTGAAAATGTGGTGTTCTTGAAACTGAGGTGGAGGCTGTGTGTATCTTGAATGGAACTTTTTATTTTTCTGTATGGTTTCTTTTGTGTGGAATGTGAGTTTGAGAGAGCTGGAAAATTGGAGACAAAAAAACCTGTATCATTTAAAAATTTTGTGCATGGACTTGTCTGTAGTTCTCCAGGAAGTACTCAGTGATAGGGAAGTGTAATTCATCTGACTTCATGGATAGGTAAGCATAAAACTAGAAAAGATAAGTAACGTAAGGACAAATGTGTTAGGATATAGAGAGTTGTCTTTAATCTCTGACATAAAAAAGGAAAAGGGAGAGGGGAGTGAGAAATTAAAAAAAAAAAAAAAGAAAAAAAAAAAGAAAAGAAAGAAAGAAAGCAATAAAACCTACCAGGATTACTACTTGAGTTTATCCAGGGCAAAGTTTTGATGATTCATAAGTGTTTCCTGAGCTGCTAGTCTTTTCAGTTTGTTTGCCGTGCACACAGTGCTCCCTGCCACCTGTTGTTAATTATAACATCCTATAAATCTTATGTTAGAAGACTAGCAATGAGACACAGTGCCTGCACTGGCTTAGTGGATGCTCTAGGAAAAAAATAATTTTTCAGGAGTTTATTCCTGGATGAGCTTCTGCAAACCTGGCGTTGTCATGTACTGATATTTCTATTAAGAAAAACACAAGTGGATGCCTTTAAACAAATAATGTCCTGGCTTTATATAACCATTGTGGTTTCAAGCACATATAAACAAACACTCTGATGGGAAGCTGTCATTTAATAAATCAATACAGCTTGCTTGGTAATAAATATTTTTCTTAGAAACCACATTATTCTCTCTTCCATGGATCATATGACTTTGCAGTTCCTGCATTTTTTTACTTTATTGGAGCAACAAAGAAACGTGGGAAATAACTCAGCATTGTGAAATCATTCAGCTTAGCAGAACCTATGCTTTGGCTAGAACAAGTTTAAAATGTCTCTTTTCGGGCATAGGTGGCCAAATTCTTCCCTTTTTCAGGTAGCCACAGCTCAGCTGAACTGCATGGTGCCACCTTTTTGAGATGAGGAAAGCATTTAGCTTTGGCTTAATCACTTGGATTTCATTGCTTATGGTTTTGCAAAGAGAGGTGAGCAATATTTCCATCTCACAAGACGGGAACTAATTTCTTGCCTGCATGGCCTTTGGATACTTAAATAAAATGATAATGCTTAAAAAATGGAATGCCTTGAATCATGGCTATTCACTGTTTATACACTGGATGCCACTTATATTGGTATACGTATATATAACTTCCACTTATGTTGATAAATAAGCCTTTGTAGTCAGCACTAAAAAGAAACCCAGTACAACAACAACAAAAAGACAAAGATTTATATTCTGCTGACAGACTGATTCTAAATACAAGTTCTATAAAGACACATGCAAGCAGGTGGCATTATAAGAAATTTCCTACTGCATTTAAACTGACGTGTTCATGGATGTTGAATAACTTGCCTCTCTATTTGCATTACTAAAATCTGTAAGTTGGTCTAAAATATTTAACATCAAACTTTACTAAAAACACATATGATTTCATACATAAATATATGCAAGCATGCAAGTGCATATATTTCAGCTAAAGAATATCAGCAATAAACACTTCTCCGTAAATAATACTGCTTAGTATAAAGTCCTTCAAGTTTTCTACTGAGTGCTAAGAAGGTCGTAAAAATTGATAAAAGTATGAAAATGCATTTTGTTTTAATGGGATTTTTACAATTTGCTATGGATGGTGAAATTAGTGTATTCTGTGCCACGTGGGAAAAAGAGTACAGAGCTTCAATGGCTTATTGGCTCTACTAGCTAATAAAAATATGATTTGGATTATTCTTAAAACTCCTGATTCAACCTATTTTGGGTAAGTTAAGTTATATTGTCTTTTACAGTTCACATAGTATTATGTGCATTCTAGTTCAATTGAGATCCATGGTAAAGTAGAGTGGACTTCCACAAAAAGAAAAAACTATTGCAGCAAACCTTGAGTGGAAGCTGAAAAGTAACTTAAGGAATATTAATAACAGAAAGGCAATGAAAAGAAAGTTCTAGTTTTAGGTAAACAGTTTGTCAGTGGTTCAAAATGATAGTTTAGGAGACAGATAGGACAAAAAATTGCTGCAAGTATACAGGAAATATGAATCCTTGGAAGACAATTCAGAGTAATGTTTGCTTAACAGGCAAGCTTTAAATGACCTCAAAAAATTATGTGCCACGTTGGTTACTGCCCTGTAATAGAATTTCATTGCTTTGAAAGCAAATGTGGAGCCTGAGGCAACTTTGTTGGAGATACTAATAAGAATCTCCCTGTGCACCTACATCTGTATTTTTCCTTTTTTTTTCTTTTCTGTGCTGGTATTAATACAGTATCACATTTACTTGAACATTACTTAAAACAATTAATTATCTAAACTAGTAGTATTTTTTTTTTTTCTGATTCAGTTTACCACAATACAGCTACATTGGTGTGCATTACTAGAAACTTCTTAGTTTTTCAACTGCAGGGAGGGAAAGAAGGTACAAACTACATCTTACGTTATGAAAGATGCAGATTTCTACCAGGGCAACGGAGAGAATCCTACCAGTGTCTTAACTACTGATGTATAAGGAAAGGAGGGGAAACACTGAAGCTGTGTGAGGGTATAAATCTTTATGAAAATGTTTGCTGTGTATTCTAGTTCCAAGACTAATTGCATCTTTGCATTCTTAGATAAGATGCAACAGAAGCCACCTCCTATTTTTGGAATACAGTGCAGTGAACTGATGCCTTCTAGCCTGCGCCCAAAGCTGCGTGTTCCTGTTGCTGACTTTGATCACATCAGTCCCACACTGCACGATTGTGTTCTTGGGAGGAAACGTGATGCTGCTGGCCAAGGACTGGTAAGCTCTCATGAATGCAGTTTTTCATGCTGAGTGAATAATATTTATAAAATAGGCTGAAGTAGGAACATCCATCCCACTAAGCAGAACCTTATCTCAGTATACAAGTGCCTCAGAAGCAGATGATCTCTCTCCCCAAAGAATATGCTGACAGCTGGCTTTGGGCATGAAGGAGTTTTCTCCTCGTCTGGCTTAGGACAGGTACTTTCATGTAGCTTCTTCCTTTTGTCTTAGAACTTCTGACAAGATAGATTTTTTCAAAGCCAACAATTTTCCAAAGGAAATGAAACTTTGAAAGACTTGTTAATTGTTCCAGTATTAGACTTTCCTCTGTGTCCTCAGTGACTTTAGCTCTTATTGCCAGTGCATCACAAAATGTAGTCTCTGACATATCCCTAGTGGTTATACAGTTGTCTTCTGACAAGCCATGAATCCAGAACATTGCATCTATCATGTCAATATTCTGTTCATGAAGGGAAAGGAACAGACACTTCCAGTTGCTTTCCAAACCGAAATCCATGTGCTCATAATGCATTACTGCTAAATTTGTAATAACAGATGGGCTTAAATCTGCCTGCCTGGTAATGAAAGTGTCAGCGTTCCAGTCTTTTAGGACGACTGATGCCATACTTCATAGCAAAATGTTCTCCCCAGAAAAAGTTTTATAGGCATTGGCAGGGAACAGAAGACTTCCGTAATGCTTAAAAACAAGTTGTTAGGAAGAAAATTACCTCGGCTTAGGAGGAGAGTACTTCACTGAAGCTGTTCTGATATTGAGACTTGACATCCGGCAATGAAGAGAACATAATAGTGCTGAGTATCAAATGAGAAGGGCTCTAGCTGTCTGCACTTTCTTCTGTTTCTGGAAAGGAAGGAAAGAAAGCATGTATGTTAATAATCTTCAAAATATTCCGAACATCAGAGAAATATTTTTTACTGTAGTTGAATAAATAAACTACAGAAAATTTATTTTTCTATTTTTTGAAGTAATCAAAAGTTAAACAGGAGACAATAGAGAAAATTGTGTTTAAAACTGTTCCTCAGGTTACAAAGACACCATGAAGGGCTCACATTTTCTTTTATTTCATTTTTATGAGTAAAATTTGTCTGCATTCCCACATGATGCTTGTGTGTAGCTCTGTAATTCACAGAAAGCTGTAAGTTATTTTCTCTGTGGACTACTTTGTATATAAATAATAACTATTCAAAGATTTGAAGAAGTGAAAACTGGAAAAATGAGGGTGAAAACTGGAATCTTTCACTGTGGAGTGACACAAAACCAACAGCAGGAAACAACAAATTGCATCAACCAAACCCTAAAATCTAAGCAGATTTTTTTTCTCCCCCCTCATAAACGAATAACAGTCGACAGTTCTGGAATGTGCACTCCTCTCCCATGAAAACATTTTTCCGCTCTGCCTTTTCCAAAAATCAAAAGTTCAAAGCTAGACTACTGCACATTATAAAAGAACAAATTTGCCATGACACTTAAAGACATGAGTCAGTGTATTCAGCTTTCTTGAGGCAGGAAGGAGTTATGTTTCTGGTTAAGGCAAATTTTAAAGTAAAGAAATTATTTTTGTAGTTTTATATATCGCCTTACAATTATTTTTCCAAATAGATAGTCTATTTTACTGTACTTTTAAAGTTTTAATTCATGCCCTGTTTGTCATATTATATTAATTCAGGATTACATATCTTCAGAAAGCAAAGTATTAACATTCTTGTTATACAAATGGACATATGCAATCACAATCACTGATATTCTTAGTATTATTTAGCATATCTGTGGCAGCCTGGGAGCCTCAGATGCTTTTCTTAACTATAAAGGGTGCTGCTTTTGCTCCTGAGAATAGCACAAACAAGGCGACCGGCATATAAGTAGAGGACAGAGACAAAATGAGGTGGCTTTGGACTGCTGTGAGTAAAGCAACTTTTATCTGGATTAAAAAGCATATGATTTTGTGTTGTCTTAAATGTGAGGCGCATAACCCAATATATCAAGCAGCTGAATTTCTCTATGTAGTTTTTGAAGCTGTCTAGGAAACTTGGAACACCATTACCATTTATTTGGAGCAAGTGGCTGACTCATTCGTCTGCCTTAAAAAACTCTACTTCTGTTCCTGAGTAAAGCAAGACGGATATTCTAGAAGTGACTCTTGTTGTACAACAGGAGAAGTGCAGAAAGTCACGGAGCTCCTGCTAGTATTGAGCCCAGCTGTTTCCAAATGCATATTTGATTTGGAGCATGTTAAAGGATGCAAACTGCTGCTTGATAGCTTTAATGTGTTCAGTTCTTTCAGGAAGATTGGCAGTGCAAAGTCCGTGGTTTGTGGCTGAGACAGGCACACATTTGGGGTTGCTGGATCAAAGGTCTGGTCTAGATTTACACCTTTGACACTGAAAATTATGTTTGGTAGGATGGAGCCAAAATTGGATAATCTTTGAGCTTGGAGAATGCCAACAGCTGAAATGATACCTAACAGTCTGGGTGCACCATCAGGATTAAATTTTCCCTTATTAATATATAAAAATTCTTACGATATTCTTTAAGAACAGCAGTGCTCACCAACTGTGGAGAAAATATGCTCAAATTCAGGGACACTAAATTTCTGTTTTTGAATAATATAGCCTAGACTTGAGGCTATAATTTCTACAGCTCCCACTCTCTTCCTGTTGCTTTTGTAAGATGACATGAAAGAATCACAACTGGAAGTTACACATAGTCATAAATTCTCCTTAGCCTTTTTTTAAAAAAACCCTCTTTATCTCACAGGTGAACACAAAGTAGGTGCTATGTAATTAACAAAAAAAAAAAAAACCAACAAAAAACCACAAAACTTTTCAAATTGAAAGGTTTGGGTTGTTTTTTTTTTTGTCGTCTTGCTTTTGTTTTTGGTTTTGTTTGTTTATTTTTAGAGGTCTTAAACAGATTGTGACATTGAATTTATGTTGGTTGTGAACAAGACTGTGGAAAATGAAGGGAAATTTTGGGAAGCATATTTCTGGTAGGGATGAGTTCCACAAGTATTTTTTCAGATGCATACATATACCAGTGACAACATCTAGAAGAACAAGGCTTCTAAAGAGAGAATTCTGAGTTAGGTGAGATGCTTGTTTGGTGAACTGTATTTTGATAACCACTGCAATAAAGACAGAACAAAAGCAAACTCTGCTGGATAGACACTAATCTAATCTAATTTTTGGTCATCATGCATTAAGTTTCCCCAGGGGTCGGCACTCCCCCAGGGGTTGGTACTGGGGCCCATCCTGTTTAATATCTTTATTGATGACCTAGATGAGGGGATTGAGTGCACCCTCAGCAAGTTTGCAGATGACACCAAGCTGGGAGGTGGTGTTGATCTGCCTGAAGGTAGGGCGTCCCTTCAGAGGGATTTAGACAGGCTGGACCGCTGGGCCGAGGTGAATGGGATGAGGTTCAACAAGGCCAAGTGTCAGGTCCTGCACTTTGGCCACAACAACCCCATGCAGCGTTGTAGGCTTGGGACGAGTGGTTGGATGAGTGTGAAGAAGAGAAGGACCTGGGGGTGTTGGTTGATGCTCGGCTGAACATGAGCCGACAGTGTGCTCAGGTGGCCAAGAGGGCCAACGGCATCCTGGCCTGCATTAGAAATAGTGTGGCCAGCAGGAGCAGGGAGGTGATCAGCCCCCTCTACTCAGCAATGGTGAGGCTGCACCTCAAGTACTGTGTTCAGTTTTGGGCTCCTCACTACAGGAAAGATGTTGAGGTCCTGGAGCGTGTCCAGAGAAGGGCAACAAAACTGGTGAGGGGTCTGGAGCACAAGTCTTATGAGGAGCGGCTGAGGGAGCTGGGATTGTTCAGTCTGGAGAAGAGGAGGCTCAGGGGAGACCTCATTGCACTGTACAACTTCCTGAAGGGAGGCTGTGGTGCAAAAGGGTCTGGCCTCTTCTCCCAGGCAAATAGTAGGACCCGAGGAAACGGCCAGAAGTTATACCAGAGGAGGTTTAGGTTGGACATTAGGAGAAACTTTTTCTCTCAAAGGGTGGTCAGGCACTGGAATGGCTGCCCAGGGAGGTGGTGGAGTCGCCGTCCCTGGCAGTGTTCAAGAGGCGTCTGGATGACGTGCTGCGTGATGTGGTTTAGTGCTTGTGGTGGCAATGGTGATGAGGAGACGGTTCGACTGGATGATCTTATAGGTCGTTTCCAACCTTGTGATTCTATGATTCTGTGATTCTAAGTGCAATTAGGTGGCAATGCCTTTACAGTAAGAGGGCAGTCAATTAATGACAGCCTAGAAATGATGAGTATGCTTGCTAGCTATGAGCAGATAAGAGAGAGGATTTCCTCCCCTTTCTCTGGAGCCAAGCATAGTCCTTACTTGTGTGCCCCTTGGTTTGGATACTTAGGCAATGCAGGCAGTAATACCATATATGTTCTGAAACAGGCAGAGTCACAGATCGGCCAAGGTTCAGCACCCGCCACAGTTATAACTATCACACAGGGCAGATATGCAGTTATCTGGCCCATGCTTCCGACTCCCACGTTATACAAGTGAGCAGGAAAGAGACTCACACCAGCAGTTAGCAAAACTGTGTGATTTATAACATTGGTGGTAGGTGGAACGGAGGAGACTGGAACCAAGAGAGCCAAATATTTTAAGCATCTGCTACAGGCCTGTGCCAGATGCAGGATACCAGACAAGATGTGCCATTTGTCTGTTCTTGAATGGAATTTCCTATGTCCCTAATACCAAGCAAACTCTGTTTATTTATAATATAACTCCTTCTGGTTTTGGAGAGATGATATACAGCACATTTCATCTTTTCACGCTCACAATGATATTTAAACACTTGAAAAGTGATTTATTTAGCCGTATAAATTCAGGCTTGGCAACTGTTTTGCTTTGTCATGGGTAAATCTGTAAAGGCTGGCAAACTTTTCAGGGAGGCTGAACTGTGTAGTTTGCAGAAGTACAGCTTTCCATAATGCTGGTCTGGGTTAAGAATGAGACTGAAGTTCTTTTAAGACCTGCACCAGTGGGCACTGGTTTTAAGTGACAGTCTTCATGGCCATAAAAAGAAGAATGGTATTCTACTTCTTTGTGATCATAGTTAATAATTATTTCCCAAAGAAATCAGCAGTAATTTCAAAGCAATACTTTTTTTCTCAGGATACATCAATTCAAAACTACAGCTCGTTGTTGAAAACAGATGTATTACTCTTAGTTTCCATTTCCTGGAGGGAATTTCTAGACAAAACTAGCGAGAAGCATAACCTTCCCTGAGTAACAGTATCTCATAAGGAGATCAATTACCTGCAGATTGAGTATGCTGGTTTTGAGTCTCTGTATTGCTTTGTTGATACCAAAGATACAAGCCCCAAACTGCCCTTAAGACCAGAAGGAAAAATCAGTGCTAGAATGCCTGGAACTGTAAGGAAAATGCAACAGACCTGTAGTAGAAGTCCTTGGCTTTAGTAGAGGCCAACTGCAGGGTCAGTCTTCATTAGCTTTCACTAATGTTTGCACCCTTTCCCGCCAGCATAGGTACATTTGCTTGATCTGCTTAAAGGCTCACCAGGCTGGGCCTGTCAAACACAGTGGCTTTCTCCCTGGGCCACTTTTGATACTTGAGCTCTAGTGTCACATCCCCTAGTCCTTTTAAAAGTGGACTGTGTACTGCTCACCCTGCTGGTTTCCAGACTAAGACCTTTTTTGAACTGTTGCTAGATTCTGAGTTCATGGGAGATAACAAGTAAAACAGACTTCTTGACCTGGGCTCTCAATAGGCACCAGGTTGTTTGATTGTTTGTGTGTTTTCTTCACACATAAAAACAAAAAAAACCCTCAGAAATGTCCTGGCTTCTTTCAAGGATGAGAC